TGGAACCCCCGCCCCAGGGCTGCGAGGAGGCGGACGGAAGGAGCTCTCCCGGGGGAACCTCCACCCCAAGGTCGACTCGCCAGAACCTCCGGAACCTTGTGATGGGCAGCTCCCCGCAGCTGAAGAGGAGCGTCTGTACGGGGGGCAGCAGCACCGGGGGCTGCTCTGGGGGAGGACGCGGCAAAGGCGGGGGCGACTCGGACAGCGCTTCCGTTGCCTCGTCGGCGGAGGAGGAGATCGGCAGCGGGGCCTCGGTGACGCTGGACCCTTTGGAACACGCCTGGATGCTCTCGGCCTCGGACGGCAAGTGGGACAGCCTAGAGGCGCTGCTCATCTGTGAGCCTAGCCTGCTGACCAAGCGGGACTTCATCACCGGCTTCACTTGCCTGCACTGGGCTGCCAAGCACGGCCGGCAGGAGCTCCTGGCCATGCTCGTCAACTTCGCCAACAAACACCAGCTGCCAGTGAACATCAATGCCAGGACGAGCGGAGGCTACACCGCCCTGCACTTGGCAGCCATGCACGGGCACGTGGAGGTGGTGAAGTTGCTGGTGGGGGCCTACGACGCAGACGTGGACGTCAGGGACTACAGTGGGAAGAAGGCCTCTCAGTACCTGAGTCAGAGCATCGCCGAGGAGATCAAGAACCTGGTGGGAGCCCTGGATGAGGATGACGGTGAAAGTGCCTCAGGCGGCGGGGGTGGCCGCTGGAGGCTTTCAAAAGTGCTCCCTTCCCACCTCATCACCTACAAACTCTCGCACGTCCTGGAGGATGGAGGGGATCATCACCATCACCACCACCACCACCACCTGGCTGAGGGATGGGCAGGAGGCAAAGCAAAGGACCCAGGTCGCAAAGCCTCAGGCAGCTCTAGTGGGCGATTAAAACCCAGACTCAACAAAATCCACTTCAAAACCCAGATCATCCACACCACACCCTTTTTCAGAGACCCGGAGCAGGCCCTGGAGGAGGGGGAGCAGGAAGAAGAGGATCGATCTCTTAAAGGCCACTTACCCTCATTCAAATTGAGACCGAAGTCCAATGTATTTGGGTAAAAATAATTTTTGTAGAAAATTCGAAGGGTTATTTGTCATCCGAAATACAATACTAGAGGTAGGCAAGTGAGACCAGAAAAGATTAAGGCAAAATTATACATTCTTACTTTGGGAGGTTGGAGTGGGAGAGGGCGGAAGGGGGGTAGTTTCCCCTAGTAGTCTGTCTGAGTGAGGTGGCTTTCCAAGTGATTCATCAAACCTTGACCTAGGCCTCTTCTCCATGCCATTCTTCTGCCCTGGAGTCCCTGTTTGTAAAGACTAGAGATGTATCTAAATTGGAGGTACAGAATTGATGACTGAGGGTTTCTTTGATTTAACCATTATTGGATGCCGTGCTAAGTGAGGAATATTGCTCGTTTATGATTGTTAAAAGTGGGTACTCTTCCAAAAACAAGATATGCAAATTGTAATGAAATTGGTAACATTTGTTAAGTGTGAACGAAAACTAATTGCATTTGCTTTTTAAGATTTTGCGAAGGTCAGGTAAGAGTTGAAATGCAAAAATTCTAATTAGTAAATGAATAAAAATGGGAATCCTATTGGTATCCTACTGTATTGTAAGTGTTCAGCTGTTTTTAAAAAGCAATCTCAGCTTTAATCACTCAACTAAAGAAATATGCAACATTCACTTTGAGTTAATCTGTAGTATGCTTTCCTCTTAACTATCATACTGCACTCAGTATTAAGGTACGTTATTAATAGCTACACAAATTTTTACTTAGAGAAAATACCTTGAACACCCTATGTTACTTTAAAGTAAAATATTGCGTGTGGTTCCGATTCTCGCTAACTTGTTTTGCTATTTTTAAAGTCTAAATTTGCTGAAGTTTTTATTCTAGGGTTATATAACCATTCTTTCTATTTGACATCACCCTAGTTGATGGTGCTTAGACTTGAATTGCCTACAGAACTGTTTCTGGTTTAGATGATTAGCAAAAATTGGCATAAGTGTATGTGAGCCTATGCTTCTCTCAAGTAATAATTAAATCAACCTAAGGTACACTTTTTGTTTTACTAATAAAACATGCTCATAGTCTATACTTTGTAGCAATATTTTGCAAATATTTAAAATACTAAATCCTCTCAATTTTTCATGGTTTCCTTGAATCTAAATAGACATACAGTGAAGTTAATGAGAAGCTGGATAGTAACTCTACCCAGTTAAGAATAGCACTTTATAAAAGGGAAAAGAGAAGAGATTGTACTATTTCTATATTTAAATGTCACTGGCTATTGAATTTCTTTACATGTAAGTGAAAAATACCAGTCATTAAAATTAAAGACTTAACATGATTGTCAATTACATTCCATTCAAATACATTAGTGTGAATATTTTATAATTGTAAAATTTAACTCACAAGCATATTAAATCTATTTGTAACAATATTCAAAACAACTTTTCTGGGAGACTAATTCCACAAGTCTTTCTTTAGTCTTTTTGATCTCATTATTGATGAAACAAGTACCTGCAGCCTATAGAGATTAAGAGGTGAGTTGGCGTGCAGAGTAATGAACCATTATATTAATTGTATACCACTGCAATCTTTAGAGTGGTCTTAGATCTTTAATTTCCCCAAGTCATAGAAATTTGTAACAAGTTTATCACACATCTCTAGAGCGAATCTGTTTAAAGATTAATGAAAAATATTCACATAAAATATATAAACTATTATCCATTTGTGTGCCTTTATTTTTATTTTAGGATTATGGGGCCATGTACATTTGAGAAGCACTTTTTCCACACATGTGGGTGAAAATCTAATTTTGTATAAATTAAAAGTAGAATCCTTGAAGGTGAAAGCCACTATTTGCTCTGAATCTGGTACACATTACCTGTATCTAGTGCAGAATAAGCTATAACTTCCCACTGAAAAATCTTTCATTGACATACATGTAAAGCTAAAGTAAACTATAAAGAATATACACTTCAGAACTACCTAAACATTCTATTAAGCAGTCAGTATTAAGCTCTTAAATGTGTATGTTACTAATTAATTGCACAAAAATCTGTAATTTGCTAGATCTTTAGAAATTGAGCTAATAATTCATTTAACTTTCTTTTCACACTAGAGATTTTAACTTTTCTGATAAAATTTACTTTAAATTCTCAAAATCATTCCTGAGGGAAACAACTTGTACATTCCTTGTCACAATGTGCTCATGTAGCATTTTCAGCTATTTAACTCTAATTCCTCTTATTTTTCAATTTCCAATTTGAGATTATAAAAAGCAAATTATTTGTGTAATTTGATATTTGTGATGTTGTATTTACCATTAATGGAAATTATGTCAGTTACTTAGATGTTTGTTGATATGAAACTGTATAGTTAGGAAACTCAAGAATGTCCATGTGTTTTTTATAGGTACATTTGAAACTAGAGAATGTATGTCATAGTTCTCTTCACATTTATGGTATATAAAATGCAACCAGCTAATATAACTTGAAAATCTGGTACTATTTTATTCATACCTGAAATCTGGGTGTCCAGGATGCCTTGTCTTTTATTTTTTAAATAAATGAAACTTTGGGAGCTTAGAATGTAAAATTTGTAGTTTGTTTTGTCAAAAATAAAAGGTTCATACTAGATTTTTTTCTCTGAATTGTCTAATTATCTCTAGTCCTTTGTCATATTTTATGGTTCATACAATGCTTTTTGACATTTCAGTTTATTTGGTCTCTTCCTTTCCCATGAAGTTATTGATCATATATCCCTAATCCGATATAATTAAAGCCCAGCGACTGAAACAGTGGAACGACCAGAATGACCGTGGCCCCTCGCCCCAGCGGGGACCCCCACCCCGATCTGGTGCCCCCAAGGCAGGCCAGCCGGCCCCTACCCATGCACTGGGCCTCTATCCCATATAATAAAAGGGTAATGTGCAAATTGACCCTAACGGCAGAATGACCACTCAACCAGTCACTATGAGGTGCACTGACCACCTCTCAGTCCCTTCCCCCGGCCGAATGGGGAACTGGGGATGGGTATTTGGGGATGTGGATGGCACCAGGCCAAGGCCCCCGCCCCACCAATCACCCCACACAGAGAGGGCAACCTGTGGCAGGGGCGGGGCCAGCGAGCAGGCAGGAACAGCCAACCTCTCAGTCCCTTCCCCCAGCCATCAGGCTCCAATCACCTGAAAGGGGATAGTGAAAGGGGAACGGAGGTGGGGGGTAGGGCTGGCTGCAAGCAGCCAGGGAAGATGGCCCTAATCACAGGCCAAGGCTAGGGACTGTACCCGTGCATGAATTTCGTGTGCTGGGCCTCCACATGTAAGGAATAAAGGTTGATGGCTGTTCCGGGTCACAAAGTAAATGGCAGTAAGATCTTAAGATTGGGTGTTTTTTCACATTTTTTCTACACTTCAAATGGCAAAATTTTGACAGTGATGGATGAATCAACTTACAGAGAAGGTATTACCTCTACTACTACCTTTAAAAAAAGCCTGTGGCTCCTGCACATACCACCTACCTACCATGAATGCTCCCACCAGACCAAACCTTCAGAAAGGTATGGAGAATAATACCCTTTTCTATTTTCTTCAGTATCCATCAATAGTATTGGACATTAATGAATGCACTTCCTCCCCAGCCTGCCTTTGATCTTTATTTTAACAAGATTGGCATCTATCAGATGACAGAGGGATATAGGACTCAGTGTATTGTCCACCCTTGTTTCCTCTTGGAAGATCCTGTTATGATTGGTGCTTGGTTTTTCTGTTATTGCTGTTGATTGATGACAACTTTTTTCACTATACCTGAAGTACTAGATAAATCTAGTTTCCGTTTCTAAAATGACTTTTTTTCCTTAGAAATATGTATCTGGAAAGGATTCATTGAGCAATCCATTTGAACATATCTTTGTAATTTTTCCTAGTGGAAAATTATTTTTTTATTTTGCTAAATAATGGCATTTAGAGCTTCTTGTAAGTTAATCTTAAAAGTGAATACTCTGCAAACCATTGTTCCTTCAGTGATGAGTCAAGTTTTCATGAAATGCTTAATATTAGAGGACTGGAAGATGAAACTTGTGAACTAATTTTTCAAGACATAGCAGTAGAGCTGTTTGTGTTACTATCCACTTTTTTTCCTCTGAAGAACATTACTTTCATGTTATCATACTCTTTTCTCAATCTTCTCTTTTAGATGTCAGTTTCATCTCAGGAACTGGCTTCCCCATTCAGTTATCTATTACTCCACATTTACTGATGAATATGTGACAAGTGCTGCCACCCTTGCACAATGCCTGGCATCTTAAAGGTACTCAATAAGTATTTTTTTCCTTTTAATGGGAAACACTAAAAAAACATTTTGCAATGTTATATCATATGGATAATTTCAACAATGTGCATTCATACCAAGTGAATTAGAGGTATTATTCATACAAATGGCTCTAAATGCCAGACAACCACTTTATCTGCAACTTAGTCAAAAGAACAATATTCTAATCCTGGAGGTAAAATCAGCTTTATTGGAATTTTACTTTGTGAGCAATTTAAGAAATTTTTTTAAATATATTTTTTATTGATTTCAGAGAGGAAGGAAGAGCTAGAGAAAGATAGAAACATCAATGATGAGAGAGAATCATTGACTGGCTGCCTCCTTCGTGCCCCCACTGGGGATTGAGCCTGCAACCCAGGCATGTGCCCTTGACTGGAATCGAACCCAGGACCCTTCAGTCTGCAGGCCAACGCTCTATCCACTGAGCCAAACCAGCTAGGGCAATTTAAGAGATTTTTAAGAGTAAAATTGATATAAAAAAGTTTTACCTTACAAGTTGACTCAAGTACATAATCCCTAGAAGAATCTTTGAACTCTATATTCTTCTTATTTTTCAATTTCCAAATTAAGATTATAAAAATCAATTTGTGGAGTTGTATTTATCATTAATTGAAGTTATGTCAGTTATTTAGATGTTTGTTTATATGAAACTATGATTAGAAAACTCACATTTCCTGGCTTTAAATATTTTATTGTCAGTATTCAAAAGACTGCTTATTTTGTGAAGCTCCAACGAGCAAAATAAGAGACGATGTTTAGTTTTGCCTAGAGGGCTTTCTAATAGTCATTTAAAGATTGCCATGGACTGTCCCATGAAGTGGAACACTCAACCTTTGGAAAGAATTGGTCAGAGGTTATGTGAGCATGTGAAAAGTTAAAATCGATCATCTAAAGCATCCCTGTGACTGTGTCTCAAGAAACTTTGCTCTAGGTCATATCCATACTGACCAAAGGTTTAGCCAAAACTGGCCTGACTGAGAATGAAGTTAACAAGAGAAATAGGGTCATTTAAGTTTTTGTGTTTTGTTTTTTTAAACGCAATTTTATGCTGTTCTGATCAGAGAACCTGGAAATGCCCCCTTTGAATACTCTTCTGGGTCTCTAAGAAACATTGAGTTTAATAATACAACTATAATTGAGTATTCTTGAAATTTGTCCAGAATTGTCTGATATTGACAAATGTGATCTTCAAGCTTTGTTTAGTCTGTTTTTGGGCTGTTATAACAGAATAATAGACTAGGTGACTTATAAACAATAGAAACCGATTTTGCAGTTATGGAGGCTGAGAAGTCCAAGGTCAAGGAACTGACAGATTCAGTCCCTGATATGAGCTTGCTTAGTGGTTCATAGGCATTCAACTGTTTGAAACTAGACAATCAATGGGTCTAGGCTGCCTATCACTACTTGAGACAATTCAGCAGAGACAGGGTTGAAGCGTATGTGAGTGTTTATTCTAATACTGCTAGCAGTATAGGAGAGCAGCCCGTCATCCATAAAAATCTGCTCTGCAGACCCCATAAACCAGCTGTTTATATAGGGTAGGACAATGATTACATGGGGAAGTTGGCAATGCAGGCTGAGTGGGACTCCATTGTTTGGGCAACAAGGTTGTTAATCTTTCCATGATAATAGGCAGTTCCTGAATAAGATTGGACCACATTCCAAGGTTGATTCCTAGGTCCAAGGTTGACTCCCAGGTCCTGGCAGTGTACAACTCCCAGCCAGGTCAGAATATCCTTTCTTTAACCAACACAAGGTAATCATGGTTAACAGAGCATGAGCATCATTAATATTTCCCATAACCATAGCTATTCCCCAATATTCTATTTTTGCCCCTAACATATTTGCTGTGTCCTCACATGGCAGAAAGGAGTTCTCTGGGATTTCTCTCTCTCTCTCTTAGTTTAAATCTTTATTGTTGAAAGTTTACATATATCTGGGGTCTTTTTTATTAAGGGCAATACCTTCATGATCTAATCACCTCCAAAGGTCCTACCTCCTAGGATGTGAAATCTAATCACATTGGGGATTAGATTTCAACATATGAATTTGGGGGTACAAGCATTCAGTGTGAATGAAAAGGGGCCACATGCTAACCTGACAAGTTCAGGAAAGGCCTGTATAGTGACCTTGAAATCTCAGGGACCTAAAGTAACCACAAAGGATGATCTGAAATTAAAACTTCTTTAAAAAAAAAAAAAAGCAGTTTATGGCAGTTTATGTCCTAGGCTAGAATCTTCCCTGACAAAAGTCAATCTTTACCTTAACTAAGCCTGTCTCTTTTGCATCTATGATAACATACCTTGGGAATGTCAGGACACCTCAGGGCACAACCAATGCACCAAAGCAGAGACTACAAATCCTCTTGTTGTTTTTATCATATTAATTGTTGACTGTTAACTATTCTGTACTGACCCTATGTTAAAGATGGATCATTTTACTTATTATCCAATCCCAGTGGCTTCCCCCACTTTGCTTTCTCCAGTCTCCCTAATCTACCACCAATGACTTTCAAGTAACCCACTTATGTCTTCTCTTTTGAGTGTAATGTATAAAATAAGGTGCAAAACTGCCATTCCCTGGAGCATTATCTCAGAGATTTTGCTTCTGGCAATTGTCACAGTTTTGTGAAGGCACCTTTCACAGACTCCAGAGAGGTGTTATCAGACAGCCAACCCCCTGAGTCAGAGGGAGAGGGCTGTCCCCCACCTTCATTCTTCTCTTCTCATATAAATGAAATTAAATGAGAGACTTCAGACTATTGTGTTGTGATAAAGCCAATTTATTAAAAAAATTAAAGCATGCACTTACTTCTTTAGTAAGGCAAGCAAATCTATACATCTGGTTTATGAAGTGCAAATGGGCTCTCAGTTAATCTGAAGAGCAAGTGGGGTGCTGGGTTTCTGCCTTCTATACCCTCTTATCTATAAGTTTTTTTTTAAAAAATTCCTCTGCTTAGATATCTTGGTACAGATTAACTCTGAAGTTCCCCCCTTTTCCTTGTTATGGCTTTTTCCACAATTATGAGAAGCACCTGGAAACTCTATCTTGACCAATCACAGACTGCTGGCTTCACTGAACAGTAGGGCATTCTTCTTTCCCCCTCTAACCTCCATCCTGCTGTCTTTTAGTAATTTCAGGGTGATTTAGCTATGTATTTTCTAGTTGCATTAAGATTCCCCCTCCTCTCCTGCGTTCATTTGTGAGAAGGAGAGGTTTTAACCTTTTGTTCTCAAGATAAGGTCCTGCTACAAGCTACCTGCATAGCTTTTGGCTTTAATTTTCCTGCCTCAGTTTCCCTATTCCAATTTATTAGAAAGAAGGCGATCACCAGAGTTAAGGGTCCTGGTAGAACACAAAGGATACTCAGGAGTCAGACAGCAAGGCAATATCTTTACTTCTGCAGGAGGGTGTGCAACCAACAAAGAGTCTGATAAGCAAGCACATGGAGCAGGAAGGCCGCTCAGATTTTATTCCTGATGCAGTCTGCCTCTCATGCTAATTGGTTAAGGCTCAATTTCACTTTCTTGCATGATCAGCTAATTCAAAGGACAGGGAGGGGTTGAAATTTAAGAAACCAAAACTTAGAATGGTGGCCTCCTAAGTTATGTGACTTAGAATGATGGCCATCTCTCAAAATGGCTGCTCGTAAGCTAAGGAACTTCCTTCTTTGACAGAAAAGATTACGGGTTAATTCTCATAATTCTCACAATTCCCCCCTTTTTCTTGTTTAACTGATTTCACTCTTCTAACTCGGTCAGCATTAGTTGATTTTCATGTTCTGCAGTGTCTAGGAGAAGGAGATTGTTTTGTTGGTATGATACTGGGGTCTGTTTGGCCAATGTGGTTTCAATTAACCTTTGGATAAGACCTCTCATACATGGGATGATACAACATCCCATTACTGTCATAACTCCTAACACGGTTATCGAAGAGGTGAATATGGATACCATCATTCCTTTCCACTTCCCAAACCATTGCTCTAGTAAATCAGAGGAAGGATCCTCAACCCCAGGATTCTCAGCTAACTCATTAGCTAAACTTGTTAATCCCTATAGGGCCTTAGTGATGGTTCCATCTGGAGCTGTGTTGTTAGGGATGAATGTACAACATTGCCCCCGCCTCCCCATCATTACACAAACTCCCCCTTTTTCTGCCAGAATCATATCCACAGCCAACCTATTCTCCCAGGTTATCCTTCTGGTAGCATCTAGTATTTCAGCTGTACCTTTAACTGCATCTCAAGGAAAGTTGACAAACCTCTGTTGGTTTTAATAAATATAATTCATCCAATCTACATTTTTGTTGACAGTGGACCACCAGAACAGGACAGATTCAAACCCTGCAGCAATTTGACTTCTAGCCTTAAACTCATTGGCACTCTTCTTGGAACCCCAATGGAATCTATGTAAATACTAGAGGCCCGATGCATGAAGCTGGTGCAAGGGGCTCAGCCCCCGCCACCACGGCAGCTGCCTCTGCCTTGGCCCCCGCCGCTGCAGCAGCTTCGTCTGGAAGGTTGTCAGTCTAATTAGCATTTTACGCTTTTTATAATTATAGATGGGGATTAAAAGAGCCCTCTGAACTCTCTCTTTTCTTCCTAGTCTGTCTGTCCATTGAAAAAGGCTTATGGTATGCCAAAGTGAAAGGGATAGACAATTGTATCAGAGCACAAGTTCCACTCCAGTGGCTAGGCAAGGCCGCAAGTAATGGTCCCCAGCAATACCACCAGACATCAGCACGGGTTATTGACAGAGCAGAATGATTGGCTTCTGAGGATCCTCGACCATTTACATATCCAAATAAATTTCCCATGAACTCCGAATACTGTTCCCTCTCTACCTTGAGAGGCAGGAGGTATAAATTTACTTCAGACGATGAGGGATGGATCATTTTGGGGAACCCTTGCTCTTTACCTCTGTTGGATGGGAACAACAGGGAGTCTTACAGGAAGTGTTTCCCCAGGTGGTTTCCTCCTGATACAAGGCAAGCATGCATTCCATCCCGTTACTGTCTGAGGCCTATTCAAATGGAAATGGGACCACTTGGGCCTCTGGCCTTCCTGCCACAAAAGCATAACAGTAGCTTTTATGTAGGGGGCGTACAGTATATTTAATCCATTCCACCCAGGCATTCATTTCCTTATATCCTTCTTCTATTTGCAAAGTTTGTCTTGAATCCTCAACTCAATTAGGGTCTCTTTTATAGGATCATTTTGTGGTACAAAGGGATTTCCCCCCAGCTTAGAGGTAGAACTAGTCATGGTGGTGGCAGTGATGATGTCCTTGGGTGGGGCTACCAGTCTCAGAGCAAACCTCCCTTGGGGATCTTGTTCTGTGACATCTACTCCTAAATCTAGTACTAGCCAATCTTTTGGCCTAGAGTTATTTATAGCGAAGAGCAAGGGATTACACTGTAAGTTCTGGCAAGCATGGGGAGGGGTACCTCTATACAGATGTATTCTAGCCTTTAGTTGATTAAACTTTTTATCTGCTGGTCAGGATATAGCCATCCAGCCCTGGTAGCGTGGTCCACCATACATCATTCCAGGTAGGACAAGGGGATACCAATGGTCGGCAAACTCTGGCTCACGAGCCACATGTGGCTCTTTGGCCCCTTGAGTGTGGCTCTTCCACAAAGTACCACGTGCGGGCGTGCACGTACAGTGAGATTGAAACTTTGTGGCCCATACGCAGACATCAGTATTTTGTGGAAGGGCCACACTCAAGGGGCCAAAGAGCCACATGTGGCTCGTGAGCCAGAGTTTGCCGACCACTGGGATAGACCATTCGCTCCCAGTGAGGTATCAAGATACATGTAAATGGAATAGGCCTGTAGCTGCCTTTGATGGTTTGGCAGGCATCAAATTGAAGGGTTATGGGCTTATCTTCCTTGGTCACATTTATCAATAACTTAACTGGGTAAGCATGATCCAGATTGTACACATTTCCCCAGCCCACATTGTAAGCCCTTGAAATTTTCCAGAGCCCCAAAGCAAATAGAATCTAGTACATGATGGCCATTAAGACAGCTAACAGGAGAACCAAGATGGCGACATAGGTTAACGCTGGAGTTTGCTGCCTTGAACAACCACTTCAAAAGTGAAACTAAAAGATGGAACGGACACCACCCAGAACCACAGGAACGCTGGCTGAGTGGAAGTCCTACAACTAGGAGGAAAGAGAAACGCATACGGACACTCAGAGGAGGTGCAGTGCTGAAGTCAAATTCTGAGGTGTGGAGTGCGCGGAGCGGGCTAGCGGCAGAGGACGCGGTTGTTGTTTTCAATCGGGAGGGAGTCGCAGACTCTGAGCTCCAGTTACGGGTGAGTCTTTAGGGACCCAGACTCAAACGGGAGAAGCGGGACTGTCTGTCTTCGGG